ATATTTTTATTGATTTCAGAGAGGAGGGGAGAGGGAGAGAGAGAGAAACATCCATGATGAGAGAGAATCATGGTTCAGCTGCCTCCTGCACACCCCCTACTGGGGATCAAGCCCGCAACCTGGGCCTGTGCCCTGACCGGGAATCGAACCATGACCTCCTGGTTCACAGGTCGACACTCAACCACTGAGGCACACCGGCCGGGCAAAAATATTTTTTATCTTTTCTGACAGAAAGCAAAGAAAGTGGTCTCCCTTGGATGGTGCCCCTGAAACCCACTCAGCCGGATATTAACACTAGTGGAGGGGCCAGTTAGCGGTCGAACCCAGGCCATCCGTCTTCGGTTACATACCATGCAACACACTGCTTTCGGAAACACATTTTTAAAGCCACATAACAGCTAGGAACTTAGTCCTACCTTCTCTTTTATGAATTACATTTTAATTATCACAATTGGGGCAATTTAGTAAACAATAAAGCGATCAAAATGATAAGTTTTTCAATTATCTTCACAGGATTAAACCTTACTTTCTCTGGTTATCTAAAGGTATAAAATGAGTACATGGATTTTGTTTTCTCTCCCTTGTCAGTTTACGCAAATACCAAAAACATTTTCTAATTGCAGTATCATTGGCCATTGTTGTCAAAACTTATCTTTTGCCCTGGCTGGGTGGGTCAGTTGGTTGGACAGAGAGAGAGAGAGAGAGAGAGAGAGAGAGAGAGAGAGAGGAGAGAGAGTTAGGAAGAGAAAGAGCAACATTGAACCGTTGCTTCCCGTGTGGACCCTCACCAGGATCGAACCAGCCAGTTTTTGCTGCACAGACAAAGCTCCAACCCACCGAGCCGCCGGCCAGGGCACCAGGCTTGTTTTTAAAACGGAATTAAAACCATTCAGTGAACACATACCGAGAAATCGCACAGTCCTCCGCACCAGTGGGTTTATGTAGCAACAGTCTCCGGTTAAAATCGTTTTCTCCTGGTTTTCAAAATCCCTTGTGGCTAGTTGTAGGCAAAACACTGCGGTCTCTCCAACTATTATCTTGCAACAAAACAAAAGGTTAAAGAACATTAGACTCTCACCAACATAAAGCAGAAAATTTTATTTAAAAAGCAACAGAGGCGCTTCCCTGAGTAGCAACAATCTCAGTGTTACACTGAGCGTGGCGGCTCAGCTCAGCCCTGATATAACGGCATCCCTGCGTGGATAACCCACATTTCTCTCAATCCAAGGGGGTCTGAAACGGGTAAGTTACGAACACGAGTGGACTATAACAGTTTTGTCTCATAAAAGACCATTAAAAATGCTGGGACTATCATAAGAACACCAGTCAGAAAGAACGTGTGCACCCCTCTGTCCATAGCAGTGTTATGTACAATAGCCAAGATCTGGAAACAGTCCAAGTGCCCATCAGCAGGTGAGTGGGTAAAAAAGCTGTGGTACGTTTACACCATGGAATACTACGCAGCAGGAAAAAAGAAGGCTCTCTTACCCTTTGGGACAGCATGGAGGGACCTGGAGAGAGTGATGCTGAGTGAAATAAGCCAGGCAGAGAAAGACAAGTGTCACATGACCTCACTCATATATGGAATCTAATGGACAATATACACTGATGAACAGAGTGGACCGGGAAGCATGGGTACCTGGCACTGACTGGCCGGTGCCCGAGGGGAGGGGGCTGGGATGACTGGATAAAGGAGGTGAAGGGATTCGCTAAAGATCACACATGCACACCCCACGGACACAGACAATAGTGTGGTGAGGGCCAGGGGAGGGGGAAGCAGGTGGGCAAAGGAGGGGAGAAAGGGGGCACGTGCAATAGTATCAACATTAAAATTCTATATAATAAAAGCCTCATATACAAATTGTCCCCTCGATCGGGGGGTGGGGCCGGCCAGCCAACCTCCTGCATTCCCTCCTCCCCTCCCTCCTTCGGCCAGACCCCACCCGTGCACCAATTCGTGCACCGGCCTCTAGTTATTTAACAAAAATAAAATAAAATATACCCAGGACCTGGGCTCTCAGGAGGTGCTCACTCATGCTTGGTGTGTGACTGCATTCCATGTTTTTTACGTGATGTGTCTTGTTAAGTTTGATTCTGCTGTAGAGATGAGAGCGAGTCTCCAGAACCGCAGAATCGGACTTCAAGTTCAGGCCAGTGTTGACCACAGCCTCTGCCCGAGCTGTGAGCTTGTCCTCGACTCCCAGGGTTAGCCAGGTGAGCCCAGGTCCCCCCTGAGGCTTAGCCACAGCCCCGCACCCACAGTTCTAAGGGGGAGGGATGGGGCACAGAGCACTCACGGGGACCTTCCCCACTCCTGGGCCACCGGGTGTGAGAGAACCGAGGATGGAAATGGGCCATGGTGACCCTTTTGTTAAAATTTTTTTAAAATTGATTTCAGAGAGGAGGGGAGAGGGAGAGAGAGAGAGAAACATCAATGATGAGAAAGAATCATGGATTGGCTGCCTCCTGTACACCCCCTACTGGGGATCGAGCCCGTAATCCATGCATGTGTCCTTGACCAGAATCAAACCCAGGACCCTTCAGTCCACAGGCTGACACTCTATCCACTGAGCCAAACTGGCCAGGGCTGATGGATTGATTTTAGAGAGAGAAGTGGGGAAAGAGAGAAACATCAATGGGAGAGAGAAATATCCATCAGCTACCTTCCCCACAAGCCCCCGTAGGGATCAAACCTGCGACCTAGGTACGTGCGCTGACCAGGAATCGAACCTGCCACCTCCAGGTGCACGGGATGAGCTCCACCAGCTGAGCCCCCAGCCAGGGCTGTGGTGTCCTCCCTGCCAGACCCCTGCAGAATGGGACCATCTCCTGCAGCCCCATGCAGGCCGCTGGTCAGGAGTGACCCTCCAGGCCCAGGAGAGAGCGCGGGCAGAGCAGTGGCACCTGGCTGGGTGCCCAGCACACCTGTCCCTCCAGGCAGCCGGGGGTGGGAAGTCCGGAGCCTGGAGTGGGGCTGCATCGTGGCTTTGCCTCAGACTCGCTGATTGACCTTAACCAAGGTCA